CTCTCCTGGGCTGAACTGCACAAACTATCGCTTATTCATGATAGTAAGCTCCCACCATCCTACAACAGTAGGAGATGACACCAAGGATATAACCCAGATCTCCTACTTGTGAGTGACAGCATTGTGCAACAATGCACTAAATTAGCGGCACCACCAATACCAAACACACAGCATTGGCCAATAGTATGCCAATTGTTCTCAACTATAAGGCCTCAGGAAGTTCGATTTAAATGAAGATTCAACTTCAGAAAGGCGGATTGGACTAAATTCGCAGACATGTTTGATGACATGATCATATAGGTTGCCCCAATGTGGTAGGAATACGAGAACTTTATCAACCTGCCCTTAAAGGTGAGGTTCTGTTCACCCAAATTAGGGCTGAGCAATTGCATCAGCTTCACTCCAAGTGAGTTGCACAAACCTCCTTTTCCAAACTTGGCAGCAATATGTCATATCTCAGTTTTTATCTTTTGCCAACTATTGGGGAGATGGAGAAAAGTGCAAAGCAAATGGGTCATCATTTTTGGATGCTGTACAGCATTTGAGAATGAAAACTGGTGGCTGGAGATTTGGGAGCTCACTTGTTTTTGTTGCTATTTTCTGCTTATTTTAAAAAATACCTAGACAGTTCTTAAGTCACTATTTAGACCAGTGATTCTCAACCTGTGGGTCCCCTGGTGTTTTGGCCTATAAACTCCCAGAAATCCCAGGAAGTTTACCAGCAGTTAGGATTTCTGGAAGTTGAGGGCCAAAACATCTGGGGACCCACAGGTTGAGAAACACTGATTTAGAATGAAGAGTGAGTTAACTTATTTTTCTTATCTAGCAGATTTTCTTTTGTAATACAAAAAAATGAGGGAGAGAAAGTGCCAACTGTAGTATAGGCCTACTACATTTCAGTTCAGGGACTGGAAATATGTACCTCTTCAGATATGGTTTGCATAAAACTCACACCATCCCTTTCCATTGGCTATGCTAACTATGGCTGATAGGAGCCACTCTCACTTAAATTTTAAGAGCAAAACTGGGGTGGAAATGTTCTTCTCTATTAGTACATTAAAACAACTAAAAATCTCCAGGTTCTTCCTTACACAGAATTCAAAGTATTAGTGGGGGGAGGCTATCTGCTCTCCTGTCTTCTTTCTCTAACCTATAACTTACACATACTACGGTATCTCTCACTTTGCAAACAGGCTCATTGATAGACTCTTTTTGAAAGGTCAAATAGCTGAATTCAGAAGTCACTGAAGGCCTGGTTGCTTAACAAATGTTCCAGCTGGGCTTTTGCCATGAAGAAGAGTCAAGTGCTGTGCTTCATTATTCTCTGCATAGTGCAAAATGCTACAGAGCAACAGATCCAAAATTTCACAGATACGCTCATAGGCCACACACTGCAAATGCACGGAGAACCACAGATGCAGGCATTTTAGACAAAAGCCACCTTCAATTAGGTGTTGAAGGGTCTGGTAGCTAGAAAAAATGTGACGAAAAGAGCCTTTTGTCCCCTATCTGTCACTGGAGGATTATAGTTTTTTAAAAAAGGAGACTCAAGTGCAGGTTTTCAAGGCTGTACATAAAAAGCCCATTCATCAGGTGATAAAAGTCACATGCATTTGATTGTGTCAGTTTAACAAAGTCACAGTAAGAGGCATTTCTTTAGGAGGTATCAGTGACTGGAGAACAGCAGGGGGAACAAAGACACTTCAGCCATTCAAACTGCAAAGGCCAGAGCAAGATAAATGCCGTGAAGGAGGCCAGACAGTCCGGCACAGGACAGAAAGCAATGACTGACAAGAAAATTAATATTCACTAGAAGTGCCAAAGAAATTAAAATGAAGAAGTAACCCAATCACCGCTGGTGTGCCTGAAATTAGTCTAATTTCAAATCTTTACTCTATATGCTTTCCATACTTAACACAAAAATCTACACTGTGGACTGCTAAGCATTCAGCTTAGAAGAGAATATAATGAAATGCTACATTTTTCCCACCCCATCCCTAAACAGAAATATACATTCTTTACCTTACAATAACTTGAGAAAAATCCTCATAGATTTTAGCCTGAAAGCCTTACTGTTTTAAAACATAACTTAATCAGGCTGAATACTACAGTTTTGAAAATAAACACTGAAATTTCACCTTACAATGCAAGCAATGGCAAGAACAAGTGCATAGTACAACATCTTATGACAACAATATGAATAATTGATATTTATTTTTTCAATATATTTTGTACAATGACTGAATGTTAAATGGGAAAATTGTGTCTAGTCTGCAAACTAACAGAAAAGTTACGATAAAAAGAGCTTTTCATTTCCTATGTTTACAACACAACCCTTCAACAGGAAACAAACAATAGTGTCACAAAATTAGAATGCTCATTAAACATTCATGTTATGGGTGTCTATGAAATGTATCTGAAGTCTTGAAGTATTGCTTTACCTTTGAAAATCTGTTTTCTATAAACATACAAAAATATTTCATATATTTTGAGTCTACTTGATTGTTTTTTAAACTTTATATCCAGCCTGATTGCACTACCAAATGCAGTGAGCAAGCAATCAAAATACATTTTTAATACAGAATTGTTTTGGGCTGATCATTTTTTTTCTTATAGCAACTACACAAGTAGATAAACATTTTGCACTAGTAGTGTTCATATTCTGAACACAAACCAATGTAGCTAGCAACATAGATTTTCAAATAACTAAGGTATACAAGTTGTAAATAGTTGTAACGCCAGAGGAAAAAACTACTCTTTTTGTTGTTGTTACGCTTATTATTACAGAAACGGCTTGCCCACGCTGATTTTTTTAAACTTTTTTTTAAAAAAAAATTTAAGTGGGACTGGCTAAGTGGGTAAGGGAAATGATTTAACGACTCTGTATCAAGAAAGATGCACTTAATAAGTCTCTAACTTCCATTTTGGAGGCATGGTACTAGAACACTGGTGTTTTCCCAACTCTAGGCAATGAAGAATAATGGATTATTTTTTTTTACTGTCTCGACAAGGTGGCTTCTGTAGATCCATTTTAGTCAGATCTCAGGGCTGGACAGATACAATGCTAGTCACCTATGCAGATGACCAAAGCAAGGAACTGGATAGGGAATGTGTGTTCCTATTGGTTCTACTGGACCTTTTCGGTAGCTTTCACTACATCAATCATGATATCCTTCTGAGTTGCCTCTCTGAAGGAACTTGCAGGTACTGTTCTTCACTGCTTCCATTCTTTCCTGGATCGAGCTCTCAGAAGATTGTGCTAGCTAGAGGATTCTGGGTCAGTGGAGTCCCCCCAAGTTCAGTCTTGTTCCCCCCATGCTATTGAACATCAACATGAAACCTTTGGAAGAGGTAGTCCAGAGTTCTGGAGTAAAGTGTCATTATTATACTGATGACTCCCAGCTCTTTTCCATTCAATTCAATGTGAAGTGGCTCCATTTTCAACATGACATCCTTTCAAATATTTAAACAAGACAATCATATCCCCTCTCAACCTTCGTTTCTCCAAGCTAAACATACCCAGCTCCCAAATTCGTTCCTCATAGGGCATGGTTTCCAGACCTTTCACCATTTTGGTCAATCTCCTCTGGACATATTCTAGCTTGTCAATATCTTTCTTAAATTGCGGTGCCCAGAACTAGACACAGCATTCCAGATGAGGTCTGACCAAAGCCGAATTGAGGGGTATTATAAAAGGAGCAGCATGTACAGTCATGTTCCTGGAACCATAGCTCTACAAACTAATTCATAATATATGTATGCATGGCTTTACAAAAAGATTCATGGTAATGTGGGTGTGAAGTTTTAATGTATTTTAATATTTTAATGTTTAATGGTTTTAAGGACACAAATGGCTAAACTGGTTTTTAATGTTTATATTTACATGTTAATGCATTTACATTGTTCTAATTTGAATAATTTTATATTTATTGTTAGCTGCCTTTAGTCTTTATATCGGAAAGAAGGTGGGATAAAAATAAATACATACAAAATAAATAAATACACAAATAGCCACTGCAGATATCCATACTACTACTATGTCTTACACAAGCTCAAAAGTTTCCTCTCTGTTGCAATCGACAAAAGCATTCCCATAAATAAGGGGGTCTCCAAGTAGTTTTGGGGAACAGTGTGCACTCATCAATTTGTGGGAATACCAACAGGTTGTGGATTAGCTTATATTTATTTCGAACATTTATATCCTGTCCTTCTCAACCCCCAAAGGGGGACTTCGGGCGACTTACTGAAGGGGAGAGACAGACAAAAGGTGGGGTTTTATCCTTGTGGGAACACTTACAGGACTCTGTGTTAAAATGGGTTGCCCTGTTCAAAATCACTTCAGAACTGAAGGACGTTTTTAAATTTGTCAGATACATTTGTAGGTTGCGTGTTCAAATTTTGACAAGCATCTGGTAGATGCTGAAGTTTATCCAAGTGTGGTGCAGGATTGTGGAAATGGAATAAGTATCTCACTGATTTAGAAGGCTATGAATGTAATCCCGCACCCATTTAATTGAGATTAAGTCTCACTGAATTTAATTGGATTTATTTCCAAGTACACATATACAAGGTGTGAATTTCTAGAAAACAAATGTGAGCAATCAACTTTGTCTTTTACTGCATTTCCTCTTCCAAAATTTAGCTCAGAAACAATTCCTCTTCTTGTGTGGAGTCTTCTACCGATATACTGTAATTATGTTACTGATAATTTTCTGAGATAAAAACAAGATATCATATTTCACCCTTCCATCCAAATGAAATGAGAGCTGAGCTGCCATCAGCCACAAACACCACTGGAGACAAAGGTGAGAGATTATAAGTGTTGCAATTGAACAACATCTAAAAGGTTGCACATTCTTCTATCCCTATTTCAAATGTCCAGTGACAAGGATCCATATGGACATCTTTCTTTCATAGGAACCCATACCCTCATAACTATCAACTCATCTCAATCAAAGGGATGGTGTGGTTCACTATAAGGCAGCATAAGAATGATTTACCTTTTCATTTTGAGAAGATGTAGTTGGCTCCACTAAGAGAGACCCCTGCTCGCTTGACTGATCACTGGCATGATTTTCCTGCTCAGCAGGATCTGGTATATGTCCCTTCCTGAGCCGCAGGACTGGCTCCAGAAAGTTAGCATCCCCGAGATCTGTTGATTCGTTCATGAGACCAGGGATCTTTGTTGAAATGTCCTTATCTTCTCCAGTAAGACTTGATGACAAACAACTAGCTCTGAAAAAAGTAAACAGAACTGATATTAATAAACAGTCCAACACATGTAACATGGCAGTATATTCAAGATATGGAAGCCATAACCAATCGGAAACAACATTTTGGTTAGAATGAAGCATTTTCTGGGGAGTTTTGGCATTACTCCTGGATAAAGTGAGTAATGAACACTGGATAATCAAAGCAACACTGAATTATTAGACATTCCACTATGCACAGCACTCTCCACTTTGTCTCCTATTATCAGTATAACATAATGTGGTTTACTGATTACTTGAATTTTCTATGATTAGCAAGGGCATGTTTTGTGAGCAGGATGTGCTAGCCAATATGAGTAATTAAAAGTAACGGAGAAAGGTCTCCCACTCCACATCATAAAATACTCTAAATGGTAAGAAGCTATTGTAAGTAGAAGACTTCTACTGTAAGTAGAAGAAAGTAATACCGGACTCTAAAAACAAAAGTTGTGCCTTTACAGAAATATGTTTTAAGGCAAGACAGTTAACTACTTTTTAAAAACCTCAACCTTACTTCTGCAAATAGGGTGGCTATAGAAATCCTCAAAACCAGAATTTATGGATCACCATGCTCCTGACATATTAAAAAACAAAAACTTCCCAGTCTTTTAGCTTTATTGAGCACCATATCCAATGTGTTCAGCAATCATTACAGATTATTATACTTTCAATCTAGAGTAGTTTTAAAATGAGAGTACATATGTTCTCTTAGCAGCTGGAAAGGGGAAAAGAAAACACTTTACTAACAGACAGACATCAGCAATACCTATTCTCCTGCAGAGGGAATCAATGTTCCCAACAGCTGCTTTTTTTGTCATCTGTAAACTGTCAATGCATACTGCACATTGTAGTCAGGTTTTCAACAGCATGTTGCCTAGGTACACAATGAAGCATTCAGAGAGAACTAAAAGGAAGACAAGGACTATCATTTTCACTAGCAAAAAGAACGTATGTAAACATGGTTCCCAAGAGCTCTTGCAATGCAGCATGGGCAGTAAACCAGCTTCTAATGTCTGAGGTTTCTTTTAAGAGATAGGTTATTTAATCAAATGCAGGGATATTTGACTAAAGAGAAAAAGAAGAAACAGAATCTACTCAACTGACTAGACCTGCAGTCTTTGCCAAAAATGGGAAAGACTTGGGTGCTTAAAATGGCTTTGAGGAATTACATATGGCCCAAAATTTCTCCACATCATTTTCAAAGATTCAGAATAGGCAAGGTCACCTGTATGGTTGCCAATAGATGGCTTCTATATAATACAGCTATCTCTCAGGATTTTCTAGCAGTACTGACATTTCAAGTGCATTTTAGCAAGATAACTGCAGTCTTCTGAAGGCTCTCAGCTCTTCTAGCAATCAAAAGAGCTTATGTCTATCAGAAGAATACAGTCATATCACACTTCCTGTTCAAAGATATGCTTACTCTTCCTTCCCTGTCACTCAGAATTATACTTTATCCATAATTCTCTTTTGCTCTCTTGGTCTCAGCTCTCCATTAATTATATATCCAATTGATTTTTGTAAATTGTGTTGATGGGAAATTGGAATTTTTACCCTGACAATGTTACTTCTTTCTTTCGCCAGTAAACAATGGAACAACACCTGTGCAACTCAGCTAACAACTTGATATTTGAGTACCTAAAAGTACTCAAGGGACCCTAAAGAGAGCCTGCGGTGGCACAGTGGATTAAACCCTTTAGTAAAATTAAACCCCATTGTTTGTCCCACATTTTAGTGAAATTAAACTCCATTGTTTGTCCCATCCGAACCTCCCACCAGATACACTACCCTATTCACCCCAGGCTTTTAAAATTCTATCCTTTGTAATTGTCCCTGCCCACTCGGCCCATTTTTTTTTTGTTATTTTATGTTATATCCTGTGTTTATTTTGTATTGTTTTCTTTTCCTATATTTTATTGTATTTTTGTTTGATGTATTATTGTATAATTGTATGTTTGTATTCTTTTTTGCCTTGTTCTAATTGATGGGCTTGGCCTCATGTTAGCCTCTCCCAAGTCCCCTTGGGGAGATGGTGGTGGGGTATAAATGAAATTTTATTATTATTGTTGTTATTATTAAACCGCTTAGCTTCTGGACTTGCTGACCAAAAGTTCAGCAGTTCAAATCCAGGGAGCGAGATGAGCTCTCGCTCTTAGTCCCAGCTTCTGGCAACATAGCAGTTCGGAAACATGCAAATGTGAGTAGATCAATAGGTACCGCTCTGATGGGAAGGTAATGGTGCTCCATGTAGTCAAGCCAGCCACATGATCTTGGAGGTGTCTACGGACAACGCCAACTCTTCGGCTTAGAAATGGAGATGAGCACCAATTCCCAGAGTTGGGCGCAACAACACTTAATGTCAGGGGAAAGCCTTTACCTTACCTAAAGGTACTAGATCTGATCTTGGAAACTAAGCAGGGACAACTCTGAGTAATATTTGAATGGGAGGCTATCACAAATATTGATTTTGTAGGCTATATTTCAAAGTATAGTTGAGTTTTCCTTGACTAAAAAGACCCTACGAAATCCTTGGTTTGCCATAAGTCAATAGGCAAACTGAAGACTTGCACAGATGTCACCACAAAACACCAGTTTGTGCCAGCTATATAAATCATGCCATAGTATACTCGTATAATGCTGACCAATAATGTGTGGGGTGCCCAATCGTTTAGCTGTACAAGTACATGAGGACACTGTTTCATGGAAATGTGTTTTCAGATGACACAACTTTTTTAAGTTGTGGAATCATGCACCATAGCCTTCCCTTCCAGAATTTTGCAGAACTATTCCCTTAATCTGTCACAATTACGAAATAGTTCTGTAATCCTAGTGAACATATAAAACCCAACTAACTCAGTACTCTAAAATTACCTTGTCGAGCATAGCAAGTTCTAACTAATCAGATCTTTAACTAACTAAACAGAAATATGTAATGATGCACAGCAGCTGGGAACAGGAGGGAGAATATTTGTCCCCTGTAAACCAGATCTATTTGCTGTAGAACTGCATCCCTTCTTGCGTGCTATTTTAGCTATAGCTTGAGTTTTCCCTAGGTTGCAAATTTAGGATTGAACAGCATATGACATAAAAATGCAATGGCCAAAATTTACACAACATAATAATTTCTATAAACTATTTCTCAGATGGCAGTGAATGACTAAACTAAAGGCACAAGGACAAGGGTTAGTGTCCACCAGGGCAGAATGAGTAATGAAATAATCATTTTATTATAGTGATAAGATTAAAAAAACATTTTCATGAACAACTGAGGCATAATTATTACCTGAACTTTAGTCCCCACTGCCTACACATCAAGATAAGCATCACTGGGTGCATTAAAACACACACACTTTAATCATGACAAATAAGCACAAATAGCTGTGAGCAGAAAAATTCTTCAAGCATTTCAAGTTTTCTCAATTTAAAGAAACAAAGGCCTTATAACTCATATTAGGCAAGCAATTAAAGGGAGAGATCTGAATAAAAAAAGTAAATATACTGGTAAATGATCTTGGTTTAAAAAAAAAAACCCTATAGGATCACATTTTCCCTCTAGTGAACATTTAAATATCAAGAGTAACCTTGAAATCTACACAGTCAAACAAATGATAACTTACATACACATAAACAATGATTTCTACAAGTCCTGAGACCTAGATCTGAAATAGCAATTTTGCTTTAAAATAATTAATAAAACTCAAGGCAAAGAAAAAAGTACTCTCAACAATCACATGGCTCAACAATCAGTTCGTTCAAAAGGTACAGTAGCAAAGTCTTATAAAAACCCATTGGGGCATCAAAACACATAAAACATGATTTACAAGCTAGTATATTTAACAAACTCTGTGGTCTTTATTATTTAAGTGAAAGCTGCACTAAGAATTCAAACCTATCCACATTTACTGGAAGTGAATTCTACTGATTTTAAGAAAATGTACTTTATGTAATGTTAAGAAATTGAACCACACCTGAAATATTAAACACCAATGAAAAGTGAGAAGGGTAAAATAAACAAGCAAACAGCATGCTTGTTTATTTTCTTTTAGGAAATGTTTGCCTATTATATGCTAGACATTGCCTAGTAAGGAAATTTTTTAGGGTAACTTACCACGACGATTGTGTCAAATGAAACACCACTTCTGGAAAAAAAAACTGAGCCTGGCATTCACTATGTGGGAGAGATTACTACTGGTCATCAGATAAAAGGCAAAGCCCCACCTACCTAACCACAGAAAAATTCTATTGGTGCTGAAGCTGTCTTTTCCCCATGACATACTGTGCAACATTCCTATGTATTATGCCTGTTAAGAATCAGAGTAGTCAACACAGAACTACACCTCCAAACCAAGACTCTGTAACCCACATATGCAATTATATTTGATTTATCGTATTCGTTTACTAGGTAGTTCAGCACACTGTCATTAAGGATGATACTATTGCAAAGCTAGTCATTCAAATGGATTTAGTCAGTCTGAGGGTGCTATTATTCTAAAATACATGCTTGTACAACTAAATGTATAGCAGCCATTTCTGCAATTATGCAGGTGAAAAATTGTGGCAATCCCTTCACCCTGTTTGGAAATACAGGTGGCATCTGCCCAACATGGTAAACCAAATGAAATGAGTAGCTCTATGTCTGGTCATGAGATGAGTGTAAACATATGTCTAATCAACTCATATTTAAGTGATTATGCACAATTTTTAATATGCAAGTCCAATTTGAGCAAGCTAGGGAATATTTTTAACTCGAGCAGAGAGAGATGAGATTGTAAGAGTTAAAATACAATCACAGAAATAGTTGAAGTCATCTTTATTTCTTTTTGTGAATCTTGGTTTTAGCTCTACCTTTACGTTGTTTTGTTTATACTAGTTATGTGGTAAGTTTCTTTTTTATTTTGTGTATCTCTTAGCATTTGTAACTCGGTTTTGTTACATGTTGTATTCAAATGTTATTCTATTTCAATTTAAACTAAAAATAATTTGAAA